ACGCTTTGCCTTGGCTTCGGCTGCTACCCGAGTTTTGACTGAAGCTCTCTTCCCATTTTGCACCTGGCCACCATAACATCTGTCCCTGAAGCCGCGCCACCCATCACATGACCTGACAATCTCGCCCAATGCTTACACCGTGAGCTCCGTATTCCCGACGAGGCTCGACACTGACACCCTAGCACCTGCCTCCCCCTCCTCTTGGGCAGGGCCACTAGGTTGCAGGGCGCCACCCAAGAGGCGAGCTCGCCGTTGCTCCCCACCTTCACGAGCTTCATCCCCTTCGCGACGCACTGCTCCGGGCACCCAATTTCCCTTCTGCTTGTGCCCCGCAATCATCCCATTGATGCTGGTCTCGCTCTGGCGCAAACGCAATATCATGCGCTGCGCCCCCATTGCTACTCGACCCAGGGCAGTTGGATGCGCAGCGGCTTCTCATCCAGGCATTTGTTCCTGCAGCCTTCCTTTTCTTTGAAAGTTCCTCCGCGCCTGGCCTCGATGGCCTCATCGTCCATTCCACGGGCCGGCTCGAAACTCGATGAACGGCGCCAACCTCCCCGTTCGACGCGCCCATGACTACGCAAGCATTGCTGCCGCGTGCCTGCGCAAGCTGCAACTTCGCATCTGCCTCCATGGGCCTTTCTTCTCCTGCATTTCGATGTGTTGTTACATAGCTGCGCGCCCCTTATGCCCGGGCGCAGCCCGCTGAGACGCGCTCGGCGCCGTCGACGTGGAAGGAACGCCTCCGCACGTGTTGCCTTGGGCCACGCCGCACTTGAAGCACTCTTCCTGCGAACGCCATTAGCCACTTTCGCTCCTGACCACCTGTCAGCGCACGATGCGCAGCGCCTGTCCCCAGCGACTGCTGCTCGATCCTTCGGAACGAAATATCGAGGACGAAGCAGAGGGCGAGAAACATGAGGCGGAACAGGGAACGACAAACGACAGACTGCGACGGCGACGGCACGAAACGGTGACGAGGATGGCGAGGGGGAGGACAACACGGGGAAGCGAAGGAGCGCGCGCATCCAGGTCACGCCGCGCCCCGCGGAGCGCGACCGCGCCGCGCCCCGTAAAGGGTGCGGAACGCGACGGTTTTCGCGCCCCCGGGGGAGGAGTCGGGCATCGGACCAGTAGCTGTCGCCATCGAGGGCGACCCAAGGGGCGCGCCATGGCTCAGGCTCTGTGAGGCTGGTAAAGACAAATACAAACATTGACACACCTCTGCTATGAGGCAAGGTCGAGCATCGTCTTGTCTACATACGGCCACCATGCTACTGGAAGGGACGCTGGACAAGAAACGAAGGCTCTTCTGGCCACGGCGAGACTCAGCCTCGAATGGGCTCCCTAACTTTCATCTAAGGAGCGGCCCGGAAGCCAGGGCCCCTTCTGAACCCCATGCGGCCCAAACTGTGCGATTGCGCAGGAAACCTCCACCTGTCAGCGCAAGGTGTGCAATGCGTATTTGCGCATAGAACGGGAGGCGCCGCTGGCCCAACGCCGACCAACAAAAACTCTGGGCAGACCTCCAAACCTTTCCATGTCAATGCAGCTCTTGTTGGCCGTTGGCCGCGTGCTCCTGGAGTAAGAATTGCACATTCTGAGCGTGCTCTCTATCATTACCTAACAGCGAAGACTAATAGGTTTCTAGTTGACTCAAAAGAGCTCACAGATCACTCCACAGGGGGGTCCGGGCAGGCGTTGGGAGTTGCCGGCCGGGCCTGTGCCGGGCTCGTTTTTCACCAACAGTCACACACTTCGTGCTCGTCGACCTCTCAGAACCCCATTCCCAGGCCACATTCTGAATAACCGGATGCAACAGTCATACACTTCGTGCTCTTCGACCTCCCAGAACTCCATTCCCGGGCCACATTCTGAATGCCCGGAGCCAACTGTAGGCCACTTCGTGCTTTCGATTTCCCAGAACTCCATTCCCGGGCCACATTTTGAATGCCCGGAGCCAACTGTAGGCCACTTCGTGCTCTTCGAGTTCCCAGAACTCCATTCCCGGGCCACATTTTGAATGCCCGGAGCCAACTGTAGGCCACTTCGTGCTCTTCGAGTTCCCAGAACTCCATTCCCGGGCCACATTTTGAATGCCCGGAGCCAACTGTAGGCCACTTCGTGCTCTTCGAGTTCCCAGAACTCCATTCCCGGGCCACATTTTGATGCCCGGAGCCAACTGTAGGCCACTTCGTGCTCTTCAAGTTCCCAGAACTCCATTCCTGGGCATGATTTTGAATGCCCGGAGCCAACTGTAGGCCACTTCGTGTTCTTCTAGTTCCCAGAACTCCATTCCTGGGCCACATTTTGAATGCTGAGGCAGGCTGATGCTGCGGCCGAGGCAGGCTGAGGCTGAGGCAGGCTGAGGCTGAGGCCGAGGCTGAAGGCAGACTGAGGCTGAGGCTGAAGCAAACTGAGGCTGAGGCTGAGGCAGGCTGAGGCTGAGGCTGAAGCAGGCTGATGCTGAGACAGGCTGAGGCTGAGGCTGAGGCTGATGCAGGCTGAGGCTGAGGCAGGCTGAGGCTGAGGCCGAGGCTGAAGGCAGACTGAGGCTGAGGCTGAAGCAGGCTGAGGCTGAGGCTGAGGCAGGCTGAGGCTGAGGCAGGCTGAGGCTGAGGCTGAGGCAGGCTGAGGCTGAGGCTGTGACTGCGACTGCCGTTGCCGCTGCGACTGTCATCGCGAATGCGACTACGACTGCGAGAACAGCAGAATTCTACAACTGGATTTTCATCTGAATCTTAAGGGGAATGCTTTCAGATATGCTTCTACACATCGCTGTTAGGTTGCTTCGCCGGGATAATTATTTAATCGCTTCGCTCATTCCGCCTGCCCGTATTGTGCCCTCGCTGGCGTTTGGGTTTTGGGGGGCCTTTGGGGGTCCTCGTTGGGGGTTTCTTGGGGGCCTCTTGGGTTTCTGTTGGGGCCTCTTTGGGGTTCCTTGGAGCTCCTTTGGGAGCATTTGGGAGCATCTTGGGGCTTTGGGCGCCGCTTGGGGCCGAGGGGCTCGATATGTCCGTTCCGGTTCCCACTTTGGGGCCATCTTGGGCCGTTTCGGAGGCCTCTTGGGCGGTCCCACCCTCTTGGGGCAGAAAACTCAAGTTTTCGGTTCGTGGTCCCTCTCTTGGGCCCCTTTTGGGGCCGTCTTGGGGCTCTCTTGGGCCGTCTTGGTGCCTCTTGGGCTGTCTCGGGGCGTTCTTGAGCCGTCTTGGGGCCTTCTTTCGAGCCTCTTGGGCCGTCTTGGGGCACTCTTGGGGGCCTCTTGGGCCGTCTTGGAGCGTCGGAAAGGCGAAAAGGCGAGGAAGCCAAAAACCTTCAAAAACCTAAGAGAATCACTCATGTTTGTATCTTGGGGCTCCGTTTTGGAGCGTTTGGGGGTCTCTTTCGGGCCTTTTGGCGCCTCTTGGGGCCTCTTGGGGGCCTCTTGGGGTGTCCTGGATGCCTCTTGGAGCGGAAGGCTCGGATTTTCGGTTCGTGGTCTCCATCTTGGGCTCCTCTTGGGGCCCTCTTGGTCCGTCTTGGGCGCCTTTTGGGCTGTCTTGAAGCTCTCTTGGGCGGTCTTGGGGCTCTCTTGGGAGCCTCTTGGGCCGTCTTGGGGTGGTCTTGAGTGGGGGCTTCTTGGGGGCCTCTTGGGCGTCTTGGAGTGTCGGAAACGCGAAAAGGCGAGGAAGCCAAAAACCTTCAGAAACCTAATGGAAATCACTGAGTTTTGCCTCTTGGGGCTTCGATTTGGAGTCTTTTCGGGTCTCGTTCGGGCCTCTTGGCGCCTCTTGGGGCCTCTTAGGGGGCCTCTTGGGGTGTCCTGGAGGCCTTTTGACGTGGAAGGCTCGGATTTGCGGTTCGTGGTCTCCATCTTGGGATCCTCTTGGGCCGTCTTGGGCGCCTTTTGGGCTGTCTTGGGGCCCTCTTGGGCGGTCTTGGGGCTCTCTTGGGGGCCTCTTGGGCCGTCTTGGGGTGGTCTTGGGGGCCTCTTGGGCCGTCTTGGAGCGTCGGAAAGGCGAAAAGGCGAGGAAGCTAAAAACCTTCAAAAAACTAAGGAAAATTATGGTTTTTTGCCTCTTGGGGCTCTCTTGGGAAGGGTCGGGGCTCTCTTGGGACGTCTTGGAGGCCTCTTGGGCCGTCTTGACGCCGTGTTGGGCGTCTTGGGCCGATCGTTCGGTGATTCGGAGCCCTCTAAGACCGTCTTGGGGGCCTCTTTTGGCCCTCTTGGCGCGCTCCGGGGGGCGTGGAAGGCCGCACCCAGGAGGGAAACCATCTCTGAGTAATAGTTCCCGGGCTTCGGTCGGGGTACTTTTCGCCGGGGGACTCCCAGGGGCCGCCCCGAGCGCGCGAACTAGAATTATTGTTTACCAGTTACCGGAGATCTTAGCACGCCTCTGGCCCGTTGCGCCGGCGAATTTCTCGAAGTCTAGGTCACAGGAGGTTGGACGGCGGGCTGCCTATTTCAAGCGCAAGCGCGAGCTTCCTCACAGCCTCGAAAGCTTGCTCTAGAGCAATCGGTTCGGCCGTGAAGGAATTAAGTCGGATCACTGATAAATCCTCCTACTATGATTACCGGCATCGTCACTGCATAGCCCCCCTTGCACACAACCGCCTCGGTGCCTCCGCGACGACCCCTTCCTCGTTCGCCCCCTTCCCTTTGTACACCCTTCGCGCTTCCGCGACCCGGCTGCCGCTCCGACGGCGGCGCGATCGTTCCGCAGCCGCCGACCAAAAAGAGTGCGCACTGGCGGGCGAACGTTAGAGGACTTCCAGACGGGGTCCGAGTAGATGGTGTCGGGGGATCGCGCCGCATCGCCGTCGCCGAGGCATCGGCGCCGTCGGCGTGGAGAAAGTCGCGCTCCACATCGAGCAGGATCGCCGATGCATCGACGACACGTCGAGATCCTCCGAACCCATCGACTCGGACCCCATATGGGAGGCCTGGACCACCGCCGCCGAACAAGAAAGTATACTCCGGCGCGCGATCGGCGAACGTGGCCCCCCCCCACCCCGAGATCCTCCTCGCCCTCGTCCGCGGGGGGCCCGTACGCCGCCTGCTGGAAGGTCGACCATCCTCGGCGCGGGAGGCGGCGGGGCAGAGTTTCTGCAGCGCGGGGCGACGGGGCGCTCAGTCGACCACACGGGACGCGGGGCAGGGCGAGAAGGTAGGGCGACGACATCTGTACATATCCGCTGCTCCATGGCAAAGCCCATCCTGAAACCAGAAGCGATGTGTACTCCACGCCCTCGTGGCTTGGCCAACAGGGCGTATACACAGCTCCTGGGCCCAGGAAGGGCCTGTAGATTTTGTTGCCCGAAAAAGAAATACCAAACTCCAGGGCTCCATGGCGCGGGGGCGTGCGAACCACTCGGCCGTCCCCGGGCCCAGCCACGAGGGGAAAAAGGGGGGAAGGGGGGCAGCGGGAACGGCGGGCAGAAGAGGGGGGAAGGGAGGAGCAGGGGGAGAGCGCGAGTAGAGAACGCACACTACGCATCTGCACCGATTCTGGTACGCGCAACGTCCTGTGGGGAAAGGGGGGGGGGACGGCGGCAAAACAGGAAGGGCACTGATCAGCCAGACTCCCAGCCGCGGCCCGCCGCATAATATGGCAAGTGGGGGCGAAGAACAGGGGGGGCGGGGATGAGGAGGACCGAAAAGTAAAAGGAACACATGCATGTCCACCTCGACATCCGCCTCCTCCTCCTCCTCCTCCTCTTCCTCCTCCTCCTCCTCCTCCGCCTCCTCCCCATCCTCCTCCTCGTCCTTTGGGTCCTTTTCCTCCTCCTCGGAGTCCCCGAAGGATGTGGGCGAAGGGGGGGACTTCATGAGGAAAACGAGGGAGAGGATGAGGGGAAGGGGACGACGAGGAGGACGAGGAAGAGGAGGAGAAGGAACATGGGGAGGAGGTGGACATGGAACAGGAGGAGGAGGAGGACCACGACGAGCGAGCAAATGAAAGCTGATCGTGAAAAAGGAAGATGGCGAGGACGAGGGGCAAAGGTAATGGAAAGGAGGCGCAGTGGACGGAGGATGGCTGGGGAACAAAAAGGATCATCATGAAGCGTGCGGAATGGTGAGGTTTCCGAAGCGCCCCGGCCCGGAACTGCCTTTAAGGACCCGAAGAGGCCCAACATCGACCCCCACGTGCGATCCTTGACCCGAATGGTAAAAACCAGAACTCAAACGGGGCAGCCTCGCGCCGCGGAGTCGGCAGCCCAAACCGACCAAACCCGTGCTCTGCCACCGCGGACGCCGAGTGGACGCCATCAAAGGAGGACAAAAACAAGGACATCCGCATAAAAGGGGGTACAATGTCAGAACACATGCTCGGGCAATCTACGCGCTATTGCCAACATCCCCTGCGGTTCATTGACAAGCAAACCTGCTTTCTCACGTGGGCCGGCAGGGGGCATGCCCCGTAGCTCAAGGACCGAGCTCCGAATTGGCACCGTGAGGTTCGCTACCTTACATCACAAGTCCCATCGGGTCAGTGCGGGGGGGGGAGCTGCTGGCCCTTCCGCGAGCCCGAGGGGAGGGGGCGCGCGGGCTTAGCAGGGCGCCCAAGCCAAGGGGGGAAGAGACGACGACACGACCTCAAAAAAAGGAGAGGGGGGAGAGACGGAAGGCCCCAGACCCCAAACTGTCGCTGGGGGGGCTGCTACCTCAACAGTCTTAATTCGGCGCCCCCCTCTCCCGCTCAGCTCACTTTTCGGTCGTTCCGAAAACGCTCCATGCAATGCCACATCTGTACTCTGGCACCCTGTGAAGTCGCCCAAGGTTCCCCCTCGGAGTGTGTGAAGTGGAGCATACTGGACATCACGGTCATATGTAGGGCCGATTAGGAGCACACTGGTGGGTGTCTTGATGATCACTTGTTCTCCTTCCACACCTTGCGGTAGTGGGCCTGATGGTAATCCAAAATTCCGCCGACCCTGTCGGCGCGTGGAATGGGTTGTTCTTCTTCTCGTCCGTGCCTCCTTCCCTTTCCCACCTTTTCCGTCTCCTTCTCGTTCGTCTCCCCCTTCTCCTCCTCCTCCTCCTCCTCCTCCTCCTCCTCCTCCTTCCTCCTCCGTCTCTTCCTCTTTCATCGCTTCCTCCTGCGTACACTAAACTGACTCGAAGGGCTTCCCCTTCCCATTCTTCCCTTCCCCGGCCGGTGGGGGTGTCCCGGGGGGGGTCCGGGGGGGGGTCCTGGGGGGGGGATCCCGGGTCAAAATACACCTCCTTCCTCCTCCTCCTCCTGGGCCCCAGGGCGTCTTTTGCCACCTTGGGGGGGTCCCGGGGGACACCCGGTAGGGGTCTTGGGGGGGTCCCGGGAGAAGTCCCGGGAGGGGTTCCGGGGGGGAGCCCGGGTCGTGTCCCCCTCCTCCTCCTCCTCCCTCCTCCTCCTCCTCCCTCCTCCGTCTCTTCCTCCTTCATATCGCTTCCTCCTGCGTGCAGTACGCTGACTCGAAAAGTTTCCCCTTCCCTTTCTCCCCTTCCCCGGGAGGGGGGGGAGGGGTCCCGGGAGGGGTCCCGGAGGGGGTCCTGGGGGGGTCCCTGGGGGGGGTCCCCCTCCTCTTCCTCCTCCTCCTCCTCCTCCTCCTCTTCCTCCTCCTCCTCCTCCTCCTCCTCCTCCTCCTCCTCCCTCCTCTGTCTCTTCCTCCTTCATCGCTTCCTCCTGCGTACAGTACACTGACTCGCGAGGTTTCCCCTTCCCTTTCTCTCCTTCCCCCGCCGGGGGGGGGGGTCCCGGGAGGGGTCCCGGGGGGGTCCTGGGGGGGGGCCCGGGAGCGTCCCGGTTGATTCTGGGTCAGAATACCACCTCCCTCCCCCTCGTCCTCCTCCTCCTCGTCCCTCGTCCTCGTCCTCCTCCCTCCTCCTCCTCCTCCTCCTCCTCCTCCTCCTCCTCCTCCTCCTCCTCCTCCTCCTCCTGGGCGTCTTTTGCCACCTTGGGGGGGTTCCCGGGGGGTACCCGTGACCTCCTCTTCCTGGGCGTCTTTTGCCACCCGAGGGGGGTCCCGGGGGTACCCGGGACCTCGTACTTCTGGGCGTCTTTTGCCACCTTAGGGAGGTCCCAGGGTACACCAGGAAGGGGTCTTCGGGAGGTCCTGGGAGAGGTCCTGGGAGGGGTTCGTCTCCCCCTCCTCCTCCTCCTCCTCCTCCTCTTCCTCCTCCTCCTCCTCCTCCTCCTCCTCCTCCTCCTCCTCCTCCTCCTCCTCCTCCTCCTCTTCCTTCCTCCTCCGTCTCTTCCTCCTTCATCGTTTCCTCCTGTGTACACTAAACTGACTCGAAGGGTTTCCCCTTCCCTTTCTTCCCTTCCCCACGTGTTGCGTTTTCACTGCGCTGTTTATAACATAGTTGCTAAACCAGCCAAGTCGGCTGATAACCTGTCCAACTGTATTAATAGATTTGCCAACTAGTTCGTATGCTGTAATAATTTTTTCAGAATATGTAATTAAAATAGATTATCATATACGCGCATGCCCTGGTTGCTAACTGACATCTCAGGTCTGCCAGTATTGTTATAACACTAGCTATAACAAACTAGTAGTTCACCATAAGATCGGATGCAACCAGCGTAGGGTTGTTATGGGGACTTATGGGACGGTTTCAAAACTTAGGTAAATGTTACGTGAAGTTATGGTAAGTTCGGCGGTGCGCGGACGGTCTGGATGTTGGCGCCCTCCTCCTCCTCCTCCTCCTCCTCTTCCTCCTCCTCCCCCTCGTCCGTCATCGTAACCCGCGGGCACGCGCGAGAGCCGGGAAGGGGATGCGGAGGCGAGGAGGGAGGAGGGGGAGGGAGGAGGGGAGGTGGACAGAACGCGAAGCGGGCGGAGGCGAGGTGGAGGCGAGACAGGGCGAGGCGGGGAAGCGGAGCGGTCGCAGTGAGGAAAGGTGAGGAGGTGGAGGAGGATGAGGAAGAGGGCGTTAGAGGGCGGGTTGGACGGGAGGGAGTGTCAAGAAGGATTTAGAGGGCGGGCGCTAGGGGAAGCGGCGTGGGTGATGAGGAGAAGGCATGAGGTCGAGGTGTGAGTTTAAGGTCTGGAAGCGAAATATCCGATGAGATATCCGAGGGTATCCGAGATTTGGTTGCACGAGGTATCCGAGAGGTATCCGAGATGCGTCGCGCAGCTACAATCCCTTGTAACTTACAGGGTACCCGAAGTATCCGATGAGGTATCCGATGAGGTATCTGGTGAGGCATCCGATGAGGTATCCGAAGGTATCCGAAATTATGCTGAATTGAGGAGGGCGTCGGAAGTGAGGATGGATGGGGGTGGGGATGCGGAGGTGGAGGAGGATGTGGGGTAAGGTGCGAGGAGGATGATGCGAGGGCGGAGGAGGATGCGAGGGTGCGAGGAAGATATAGAGATAATCCCAAGGCCCCCCTCGTCCTCCTCCTATCCTCCTCCTCCTCCTCCTCCTCCTCCCCATCCTCCTCCTCTTCCTCTTCCTTCCCCTCCTCCTCCTCCTCATCATCCCCTCTCCTCCCTGGCGGGTGGCTTCGTCGATCCCCTCAGAACTATCGAAGACGCCCGCGGCGAATTACCGCCACCCCCTGCCCTTTTGGAAGCACCTGTGGCCGAGAGCCCGATTGGGGCGGTGGGGCGTTACGATATCTTATGAGAAGTTATGAAAAGTTATGAAAACGTATCAGAAGTTATGAAAACATATGACTCTTACACGTTAAATTCATCGATACTTGCTAACTGCAGGGTAAGTCGGCGATAACTATGTTATGTAAACAGTTTATCACTTAGTCATGCATTTTTATAACCCGCCTACGGCCAAAATGCACAAAGCAGCCGGGGGGGGAGGGGGGGGGGTCTCGGGGGGAGTCCCGGGATGGGTCCCGGGTCAGAATGCCACCTCCCTCCTTCTCCTCTTCATGGCAGTTTTTTTTGCCACTTTGGGAGGGTCTCGGGGGGTACACCCAGGACCTCCTCCTCGTGGGCGTCGTTTGCCACCTTGGGGGGGTCCCGGGGGACACCCGGGAGGGGTCCTGGGGAGGTCCCGGGAGAAACCCCCGAGAAAGGTCCGGGGGGGGCCCGAGGGAGGTCCCGGGTCGTCTCCCCCATCCTCCTCCTCCT